AATAATTCTCAATAGGTTTAAAATAAGAAAACAGTGAATAACATAAAAAAAACATTTTATTGTAAAAAAGAGGGGGTGCTTGATGTTATTTGTTATAAGTTTTTGTGGATATCTGTAAAATTAGCGTCATAAAATAGCATCCCACGCTGTTTTCCAATAATTGTTTTTTTATGTTAATCACTATTTCTTATTTTAAACTTATTAAAAATTATTTTCTACTTTTTAGTTCGGTTATCCATAAGTTTTTTTTTAACTATTATTTATTTTATAGGATAAGGGTGACAAGCGAGCACACAGTCCACCTGATGGTAAGTGGTTGCTGTGGCCCATAGCTATCTACATCTATCCTCGTTTGCGAATCAAAATGCAGATGCATAGTCAGCCGTGAGAACTAAGATGGAATGCCTCTTTTCTTGTAAAAATGCTCTCCTGTTCTCTACACTCACCATACGAAACACAGCAGCATTACGCTGCTATTTTACGCTGTTATTCTGTGAGAGCGTGGTCCTTCCCCGGTCGAACCGACCCTTTCGTGCAACAACTATACAATATAATAGCTGCAGCATGGATCCACCACATTTATTTACACTAAATTACATAGAAAAATATCTAATAGGATAAGGAGATAAAATAGCGCGATCATCATCATCATCATCATCATTACAGCCCCTCACAAGTCCACTGCTGAACATAGGCCTCCCCCAAGGAATGCCACAGAGCACGGTCCTGAGCCACCTGCATCCATCGACTTCCTGCATGTTTTACCAGGTCGTCACTCCATCTCGTGGGGGGTCGCCTTACACTTCTCCTACCGGTACGAGGCTGCCACTCCATCGGTTGTCGGTTCTTCGAGCTATATGGCCGGCCCACTGCCATATCAGCTTAGTAATCCGCTGGTTGTATGAGGAAGCTCAAGGTCGCTCAGCGAGCTATGGAGAGGGCTATGCTCGGGGTTTTTCTGCTTGATAAACTTAGAAATGAGTATATCAGCCGTAGAACCAGAGTAACCAACATAGCCCAACGGATTACGGAAATAGCGCGATAGATATAGAAAAATGTGGTAAATGTTGATCCACAAGGCATTAAAAGTATTATAGTGTTACTGCAAGCGTGTGCACACTTTCGTTATTGCATACTAACAGAAGTGTGCACACGCTTTCAAATCTAGAATTGAATAATAAATAGCGCTATAAGCTCAATAAAACGACCTAGTTATCATCGATTTATTCCTAGAATACTGTCAATCTCTTCAATAAAAATTAACATACAATAATTCTACTTTCTTTATGTTTAAAATAATTTGCATTGTTTATTATACGTCCTTGTCTTTCCTTCTTCTGTAATCGTATTGTATTCAGCCATCTTCAGTAAGGTCGTTTTTGTTTGCATCAATATTGGATCAAATTTCCTAATCGCATGGTATGAATTTGGTGGTTGGGGGCTAGGCGAGAGAGTGTAAGATTTTTCCGATATGACACCCTTTTTATTGTGCGAGCGACATGGAATAATATTCATCACCCTCGCGCTTATTCTTATCCATGCCATTTTGCCATGAAAGAAATATTATTATAAATGACGCTTCATTTTAATCATCATCATAATCGTCATCATTACAGTCTTTCATAAGTCCACTGCTGAACATAGTCCTGCCCCAAGGAATGCCATAAAACACGGTCCTTAGCCACCTGCATCCATCGACTTCCTGCATGTCTTACCAGGTCGTCACTCCATCTAGTGGGGGGTCGCCCTACACTTCGCCTACCGGTACTAGGCTGCCACTCGAGAACCTTTCTTCCCCATCCGTTCTCGGTTCTTCAAGCTATATGGCCGGCCCACTGCCACTTCAGCTTACTAATCCGTTGGGCTATGTCGGTTACTCTGATTCTACTGCGGATATCCTCATTTCTAAGTTTATCGCGCAGAGAAACCCCGAGCATAGTCCTCTCCATAGCTCGCTGAGCGACCTTGAGCTTCCTCATACGACCAGCAGTGAAGGACCACGTTTCAGATCCGTAAGTCATCACTGGCAACACGCACTGGTTGTACAATTTCGTTTTCAGGTTTTGAGATACATCTGACAAGAAGATGTGTCGTAGTTTCCCGAACGCTGCCCAGCTGAGTTGAATCCGTCGATTGACCTCTCGATCGAAGTTGAACTTACCTAGTCTCGTACTCGTCAACAACTTCGAGCTTAGTGCTCCCAACAACTACCGGCATAGGTGTGACATGGATGTTAAACATGATTTTTGTTTTGTCCATGTTCATCTCAAGATCTATCTGTTGGGAGACACTATTGAGGTCATTGAGCATAGTTCTTAAGTTCTCCAGCGATTCTGCCATAAGGACTATATCGTCGGCAAATCGAAGGTTAGTGATGTACTCGCCATTGATGTTAATACCGCATCCTTTCCAGTCCAGTAGCTTGAAAACGTCTTCCAATGCAGCGGTGAAGAGTTTCGGGGATATAACGTCACCCTGTCTTACACCTCTCTGCTGTTGAATTTTAATAGACATGTTTTCTACATTTTAATAGACACTAGTAATTCATTTATTTGTATTTTTGTTAATCAATAAAATAATACGTTTATCAACAATAATATACTACGAAAGGAGCTTCGTTCCAAGCGAGTGTTCCACGACACTCACGCATGTTTTTATTTTTACCTCTTTTTTGTTTAATTCACTTTTTTCTCTGTTTATGTAACGGTTGACCTAATCAAAAGTTTTTTGAACTTAGGCCTCACACACAGATGATCTCTGGTTTGTTTCTCTCAGTTGCCTCTTATGACACCCATGGCATGATATGTGGTAGTGGATATTTTACATCGCCACTACATGGTACTCTGTATGTATGTTCGATAATTTTACAACTGACCTAAACCAACTTCAAACGACTTAAGGAATGGAACGCAAGAAAGGAAGAAAGGGATTTTAATTACAATATTATTATTAGGAAAGTTTCGATTGTCTGTGGTCCCAATTGTAGGACCCTGTCTGTCTACTTGATGAATACTTGGAAAACTACATATGTTAGCATTCTAGATCTAGACCACCGTCAACATATACCAAGTAGTGTTTACAACCAAGCAATCCTTCTGGAATGGTCTATTGTTTTTATAATCGTGGGAAAATCTTCCCACGATTATAAAAATGGGCAAAGGAAATGTCATTCCTACCAGCGACAACCTTAGAGTGAGAATATATATGAGGTCCTGGTATCTCCATTCGAAACGCAACCGCGGTCCCTCTATAGCTTTGCTTGGCTTGCAATGTCTCGCTATCATTACGGAGTCTTCGTTCGCCATCCGCCGTATGGCCATCCTTCACTGGAATTTAATAGAGTTTACTTCTGCAGAGTAGAATAGTCTGCTGTTTCGCCCATATAGACTCACTATACAACCCTTATTACTTCCATAAAGAAGCGGTACCCTTACTCCCTTAGTCCTCCAAGATTAGACAGCTGTCTATGCACAAAACCTAGCGAGTTTTGAAACATAGCGGGTTTTGTGCATAGACGGATATAGACTCCTTAATCCGGTGGATTAGGAGCTCGAAGTATTCATCAAATTCCCAACTGTTGTTCAGGTACAAACTTATGTACTTCATGTACCACCCTACTCTGACTTTAGACACAGACGCAGTAGAACGATTGGGTAGTACTCTACAACTTAGTAATTTATGGAACAATAGAGCATCGGCTTTGTGACGCGCTATTTCTAATCCCTGCTCTAGGATTTTAACTTGACTTGGATTTTTGTCCCAAGCACAGCGATCTTTCGAAGGTGTGTCAAGCGTCCACTAACGGGTTAATGTAACACTAAAAAAGCTGAAGTGGCGTTGGACAACCTATCTCATCAAATAGCCAACCGTTGGGGAAGAAAAGTTCCAGAATGGCAGCCTCGTACCTGTAAGCGATGTAAGATGGCCCTCCCTCTAGATGGAGCGATGACCTAGTAAGATGTGCGAGAAGTGAATATATGCAGGTAGCTCAGGACCGCGCTCTGTGACTTTACTTGGGTGGGGACTAATATTTTAATCTTAATACTTTATCAGTCTTTTCAATCCACTTTTTGATATAAGTCTATTCTAAAATATGCCAAATTTGCAACATAGTAGCCAATATTTTGTATGATATGCCATAACATCGTGCTAGGCAGACGGACTAACGGATACAGAGGTTGTTAGAACTAGCACAGAACTGTGTGAAAATCTTATTATACATAATTTGACATTTAATTTCTTATTCACTCAACCATATCGTCATCATTACAGCCCTTCACAAGTCCACTATTGATCATAGGCCTCCCCCAAGGTATGACACAAGGCGCGGTTCTGAGCCACTTGTGTACATCGACTTCTCGCGTGTCTTACCTGGTCGTCACTCCGTCATATCATGTATCTTAACTTAGTGCTGCTGGCTGAATAGGTAGGCATCAATCTAGGTAACATACGGAACACTAATAATTATTTTTAACTAACTCGTAACCGGCGCGTTACTGCCGCAGAAAAATATTTGTGGAAATATCGTTTTAAATTTGGAAGGGTTATATTATTTATTAGGAATGAATTCATTGAAATTAAATTACATATTATGACTTTCAAATAATTATGTCGGTACGACACGCGCGCCACATACTGTAATTTAATTGTACTATGCCTATAACCTTCGCGGAAGTGCAGTCTATATGTTGTCAAAGTTTTACCCCAATCTGATGAACGGTGTGGCAGCGCATAAAATACGAACACACAAAAATTAATTTTTATATATATTAAATTAATGAACATTTAACGTCTCATAATTTATTTTTTAATCTATTTTTGCGATTTCAAAAATGGATTGGAATTATAATAAAAATACAAAATTTTCAATTTCAATAACTAATATAAATAAAAAAAATGTTTTCGTCAAAATGGACATAATAAAATAAAGTAAAATATTATTAGTACTTTTTATTGCGAATTAAAAAATAAAAATTACTTTAGTAATTAATCAGCTATCATTATCTGGTATTTCTTGGCGGATGGTCCTTTGGCAGGAGAATGCAAAGAGCCGCGCATACTGTAATAAAAAAAAATAAGGTAATGATTTCTTATATTTACACGAACACTACACATTTAAATAAGGTACTATGAAATTTTATAATAAAACTAAATTAATAATAATTTATGTACGATGGATGTTTTTAGATTTATAATATTAAAAATAAATCTTTTTCTTAGAAGTTCTGGATTGATTTTTATTCGTAGGAATATTAATAATTGTAATAAAAAACGGTAAAATGTTCGTAAAACTTACAGAACAGCATAGAAGAAAAACCATAGAACGTGGTCGTGCAAGAACTGGCGAGAAAGATGCCCGCAGCATTGGCTCCGACCGCGGAACCGGTACGCCCGAACATGAGAACTGCGCCGACAGCCGTGCCCCTTTATGTAACAGATGAATCATTTTATTATAGAATTGGGTGAAAAACAAGCACACATACAGTCCATCTGATGGTAAGTAGATGTTGTGGCCCATAGACACCTACATCTATCCTCGATTAAGAATGATGTTTGCAAAATGCTGGATTAAGATGGAATGCCTTTTAGAGTATACATAAACACAATACACATAACAGTACTACGTAAAGAAGTAACACTTCTTTGATGTTGTCTTCTTGCTGAAGTTTTAAAAGCCTACATAATTATTATTAATTAGATAAATCATGTAACCAAATTTAATTTTATCGCTGCGCACGAGTGGCCGTATTCAATTTACAACAGTTTTAACCTTAATATAATGTCACTTATATTTTTTATCGTCTTTGGAATAACGGTTATTAAATCTCAAGTATAATCTAAATAAATACTGGGAGGCAAAACGCGGACACGGAGTGATAAAATTAGTATACGTTAATCATTTCAGTAAATTATTTGGTGGTAATATATTTTCTGTATTAAACATATAAATATACATATCAATTGTACTAAAATTATAGTAACAACAATTTTATCTTATACTTAACTAACTATACTAAACAATAATCTAAAAATATTTAAACGAATATTTACAAAAAATCTATTTACGTAAACAAAGTTTTTAACTTTGAAATTCGCGCGCTAGCCCTGACTGTATGTAACCTGAAGTTCCGCGCTATTGTAGGTATTTAAGTCACGCAGGTGACAAGAGTGACAGAAGAGTGATATAAATAAGTTATAGAGCACGCGTAAAGATGAACGCACATTTGTCAGTACCGTACGCGCCGTACGCGCGGCATTTTAGAATTCGTAGTATGAACTCATATGAAACTTTTCATACGCACCGTACGCACCGTATTTTATAAAATACGGTAGGTATCCGAATATTGAAGGAGGTATACTGATGAAGTCATATAATTGGGTGCATTCGGCGCGTGCTGTTACTGTGTTGCCTAATGTTGCCAATTTGAAGGATTTTCAACTAAAACTGGTGGCTTCGACTACCCTCCTAATAAAGAAATATTGTTTGCATTGGCAACACAGGAAGCTCTAGCTCAAGTTTTAGTTGCCTACAACGCTGTTATTCTGCCAGCGCTATGATGTTTAACTTTTGCGACACGACAATAAATGTTACTTCTGGAAAATGAACAAGGATACGTCTATTAGACAGCCCGTATGGATCACGCCGATCACATCATAGTCCAAATGTCAGATTATTTTATCAGGGAGTTAATTTTTTTAAACTTAACCCAGTTAGATAGCCACGGCTCAGCGGTCTCTGTATATACGAACGTATGACTTCCACTAACGTTAATCAAGGTTTTCAAATCTCATTGGCCTAATTAGTGTTGAATTATGAGGTAACATAGGCGATCGATACGGAGGCCGCGGACTCGGAACTAGCCGTTGACCGATCGAGTAATTTTTATTTTATAGAATACGTGTGACAAACGAGCACACAGTCTACCTGATGGCGAGTGGATGCTGTGGCCCATAGATGTCTAATCAATCTTCAATTAAGAGTCGTACGTTGTAGAGCCATGCTGTAGCTATACTAATAGTATAGTTGTAGCACGAATGGGTCGGCTCGAACAGGGAAGGACCACGCTCTTATAGAATACCAGCGTAAAATAGCAGCTTAATGCAGCTCTGTTTTGTATGGTGAGTATAGAGAATCGGAGACCCTTTTTACTGGAAAAGAGGCATACTATCTTAGTCCTCGTGGCTGACAACGCATCTGCATTTTAATTCGCAAACGAAGATAGATGTAGATATCTATGGTCCACAGCAACCACTTACCATCAGGTGGACTGTGTGCTCGTTTGTCACCCTTATTCTATAAAAAATGAAGCTAATATGGAATGTCAGTTAAAAGGGTCTCCTGTTCTCAAGACTCACCATTTGAATCACAGCAGCATTAAGCTGATATTTTACACTTGTATTCTGTGAGATCGTGGTCCCATTCTTGCTACAATCATAATATAGCTGCAGCGTGGATCTACCACATATTGCTATATTTTATTAATTAAGTTAAGTTGATAGTTGATTGTTAACCTAAATAAACGTACCTCAAACTCGTAGGAAAGAGATGAACTGCGTATGCTGTAAGCGGTCCGATGCCTAAAGCAGTTATCTGCAAGGCTGACATAGATATCCCGGCGAACAATCTGCAAACAAACTTTACAGTAACAACATACATACATAATATTACTGGTCAGTCTTCCTCTCATTTCTGAAAGGATTTAAGAGCAAGATGGATTTTTTTTTATAGAATAACGGTGAAAAACGAGCACACAGTCTACCTGATGGTAAGTGGATGCTGTGGCCTATAAACATTTACCTTCGATTAAGAATAAAAATGCAGATGCGTTGGGACTCTTGAGACTAAGATGGAATGCCTCGTTTCCGGTAGAAAGGATCTCCGATTCTCTATACTCACCATACGAAACACAGCAGCATTAAGCTGCAATTTTACGTACGCGTTCTGTGAGAGCGTCGTCCTTCCCCAGTCGAGTCGACCCATTTGTGCTACAACCATAAGATAGCTGCAGCGTGGCTCTACCACGTGGTGATATGGTGGATAGATGGATGACTGAATGTAAGCAGCTTATAAAAGTCTACTGCTGAACAAAGGACTCCCCTATAGACTGCCTCATAGGGGGAATATTTGCTTAGTTGCCACGGAATATTTGCCTTAGTTGCCACGCTCTCCAACCACAGTTTTTTTTATAATTTTGATTAATTATCAGGAGTTTCCTGCTGCCCATCTCCTGTGTCAATTTCCCTCTGTTGTCTCTTGAGACATCCACGGGACGATATTGGGACGAATATTCTTAGACCGCCAATAAACAGTTTCATATATCAACCCGTTTCGTTCCTTGGGTGTCTTAACAGGCAACTATGGGAACGGTCAGAAAACCTATTATAAATAATGTGTTGTGAATCACGGCATTGTGGTTCTTACCTATTTGTGGTAAGCTTTGACGAAATACAAGCTGCACCAACTACCAAGAACATGGTAATAAGCTGGATCTTTTTGGAGACTGGGCTGAGGCTGATCATCATCACTATTACGCCGTACACGACTGTCGCTACTATCATTATTTGGAAGGTTTCACGAGATATGGTGTCATCGCACGTGGCACTGCTTGTCTGGAATTATTGTTCATTTAAATTAAATGTAACCACGAATAGTCGAATTTTACTCATCGAGTCGTGGTAGCTTAGAGGTTTAGCGCACGCTGTAAATTTCACAGCTCGCGTACAACCCTGGTTCGAACCCGATGAAATTTTCAATTGCAGTTGTTCTGCATTTCTGTGAAAAAAATATTTCAAAGACATGTGAGGTCCGCCAACACGCATTGGGACAGCGCGGCGGACACTTTCTTGCCATAAAACCCTCTTAGAAGTTAGAGGCCTGTGCCCAGCAGTGAGACGTATACAGGCTGCAACTTTTAACATTTTTAAAGTAACTAGCGACTCTTTTTAGAAAGCGCTTCATTTGAATTTTAAATTTATATATGATCACTAGCTATTGTCATAAATAATTCGGTATGTAAATTTTTGGTATCGTTTTATATTTTGGTGCTAAAAGAACACTTTGCACGTCAAAATATATTACTAGGTGGTCTGGATTACCATTCAAGTTTTCTATTGCCTTGTTTTTGACACAATGTGCTTCATCATTTTTCTGGATATGTGTCTCATAATCCTCTTGCGATATATGTTTAACTGAAAACTAGTGCAAAAATCGCATTGGTCCTTCCTTGGTGTGTGAATTGAAATGTTCTTTATACACAATATTATAGAATAGACACAGAATGTAGAATAGAATAAGGGTGACAAACGAGCACACAGTCCACCTGATGGTAATTGGATGTTCCGTATTTGGATGTTAGTAATTGCAGCCAATATACGCGAGTGGTCTGAAAAGTTTCTGACCTAACAAAGATATAAGACATTTTTTCTTAAAATTTGTCTTTATTCTTCTACATAGTCTCCTTGTAATTCTACACACTTCTTCCAGCGATCTCTCCATCCTACCATCTCTCTAACTCATCCAAATAGTATTCGGCGTTTTTATCTTCAAAATAATCGTTCAAGAAGGCGATTAACTCCTCCTTTGACAAAAATATCTGTCCTCCGAGCGCAATTTTTAGACGAGGGAACAAAAAGGATGCGTTTGGGGCTACATCTGGTGAGTCATGCAGATGGTCAAGCAGTTCAAACCGTAATTCGTGGATTTTTGCCATGGCAATCGCTGAGGTGTGAGACGGCACGTATTATGATTAAAAAAAATTCTGCAAATGTGGCCGGTTTTCCACAATTTCTGCCTTCAGTATGTCAAGTAATGATGCGTAGTATGCCTCTGTAATGGTTTTTCCTGTAGAAAGACAAATGACTGGATTGGATGTCATGAATTTGATGAAGTCATGGATTTACCATGACTGATCCCAGAAAACAGTCGCCATGACTTTCCGAGCCGAAAAAGCCATTTTCGCTTTTTTTGGAGCCGGTTCCCCCTTTTCAGTCTGTTTCGGGTGTATAATGGTGTATCCGAGTTTCATCTACAGTATTTAATCGGCGCCAAAACTCGGGTTTATTGCGCCTAAACTGCGCCAACAGAGCTTTGGAAATGTTCATTCGAACACGTTCTTGGTCTAACGTAAGCAAATGCGGCACCCAACGCGCTGACAGCATTCTCATCCCTAAATCTAGATTTAATATTTGACAAACATGTTCTTTGGACATTTTCATAGCCTCTGCTATTTCTCTCACTTTAATTCGGCGGTCGCCTAGCACCATTTGGTGCACTTTAGCGATGTTATCATCAGTAGCTGCAGTTTTTAGACTTCCCGGACGTTCATCGTCTTCCAAGCTCTCATAGCCACGTTTAAATTGAGCTGCCCAAAATTTGACTGTGGTAAATAATGGTGCAGAGTCCCATTATACAGAGTCCAACTAATCTTTGATTTGCGTAGGTGGTTTGCCTTTCAAAAACAAAAATTTAATGATTTTTTTCCATTTTCACAAAAACACTCACATCGAATTACTCAAACGTCTCTCAAATAACAACTACGCGTCCAAATTGGCTGAAATTTAGGTGTGTAACTGCCAAAAGATGCATAACTACATTCACTAGCTTTTATTGAAGGGTGCTGCCATCTTCACGTTGAGGTCGGAAACTTTTCAGACCACCCTTGTATGTTCCACGGCTGGTCACAATCCTCATCTAAATTCTGAGAGGAAAAGACAAGACATGGATATGTCTTGTCTTTTGTGATTCATGCCTTCTTATTTTTTTTATAGGATAGGGTAACAAACAAGCACACAGTCCACCTGACGATAAGTGGTTGCTGCGGTCCATAGATATCTACATCTAACCTCGTTTGCGAATCAAAATGCAGATGAGTTGTCACTCGTGAGCACTAAGATGGAATGCCTTGTTTCCAGTAAAAAGGGTCTCCGATTCTCTACACTCACCATACGAAATACAGCAGTGTTATGCTGCTATTTTACACTGGTATTCTGTGAGAGCGTGGTCCTTCCCCGGTCGAGCCGACCCATACGTGCTACAACTATGATATAGTTGCAGCATGGCTCTACCACGTGTACAAATTATAATAAAAAATTATGTATATCAAATTATATAATCTAAAAAACTACTTTTTAAATGTCTCAGATATGTTGGTTCCCAGAATTTTTTTCTTCACCGTTAAGCTTGTGGTGGTATTACAAAGGTGTTATCGGAAGCTTATAGCCACAAAATATGACCAGTTTAAGTACCTTATTTTCTTTGAGATTTATCACTTCGCATATAGTACTGTAAGCCTTATTTGATGGATTTAATAGTTTATTTATAGTGTCCGGTGCGAAAATGTACAGGCCATTTAACCTGGAAACATAAAAAAGTTAAGTAACATTTATTCTTGCCGTGTAGTGGCGGTTAAGAATATCCACTACCCCATATCTTCTCGTGGGTGTCGTAAAAGGCGACAAAGGGAAACAGGCAGGAGATGGGCAGCAGCATCTTCCTGGTAACGGCAAAAATACAATAAAAAAACTGCGGTTGCCAACCCGCTCGCCAAGCGTGGCAACTATGGCAATATACCCCCCATGAGCAATGACAATAATAAACGGCCCCCAGTCCCCGGCGGCCCCGCTATTCCTGGCTACGGTGGCGACCATGGTAACGGCGGGGCAGGGGGTGCTAAGAATCTCCGGTGGAGGTTCGGTTGCCACCTACGACGACTCGACCTGGCAACATTCAACGCACGCAGCCTGAGGACAGACGAGAAGATTGTGGAGCTGGAAGAAGAGATAGACAAGTTACGCTGGCATATTATAGGATTATCCGAATTCCGAAGAGAGGGGGAGGACACGGTAATCCTCGAATCCGGCAACTTGATCTATTACCGGGAGGGCGACCATCTGTCCCAAGGAGGTGTCGGATTTATCGTCCACAAGTCTCTCGTTAACAACGTAGTAAAGATTGAGAGTGTGTCGACGAGGGTTGCGTACCTTATACTCAGAATCACCAAACGGTATTCGCTGAAGGTCATACAGGTTTACGCACCAACCTCGGCACACCCCGATCAGGAGGTGGAGGAAATGTATGAGGATATCTCTAGAGCCATGCATTCCTCCAAAACCCAATATACGGTGTTAATGGGAGACTTCAATGCAAAACTAGGCACAAGAGAGAACGGTGAGCTGAAAGTGGGGAAATTTGGAATAGGGCAACGGAACCCAAGGGGCCAGCAGCTGGCCGACTTCATGGAGAAAGAGGGACTCTTTATGATGAACTCTTTCTTCCAGAAGCGGCCCCACAGGAAGTGGACCTGGTCGAGCCCCGACGGTTCGACAAAAAATGAGATTGACTTCATTATGACGACCAGACGACAACTGTTCAGTGATGTCTCAGTGATCGCGAGGGTGAAAACCGGCAGCGATCACCGAATGGTTAGAGGCACACTGAACCTAAACGTTAAGTTGGAGAGGTCTCGTCTAATGAAGTCAACGCCCCGTCCCCCTCGTGCTCTAATCCAAGGTCCCGAAACCTTTCAGCTCGAGTTACAAAACCGTTTTCAGTGCCTAGAAGACTGCAATGAAGTGGACGATTTAAATGACAAGCTCGTGGAAACTGTCCATGCGGTTGGAGCTAAGTTCTGCAAGACCCGCCGCAGAAGAACACAAAAACTCTTCGATCACACTCTTAATCTCATGGCTGTTAGACGGGAGATGAAGCTACATTCTTCAACAGATTTGACAGCATACAGGCAACTGAACAGACAGATATCCAGATGCATGCGGCGGGACTTACGCAACTTCAATACAGCTCGTATTGAAGAAGCGATCGAGCGGAACCAAGGCTCCAAAGTCTTTGCCAGAGATCTGTCTGCCAGAAAGAGCCAACTGTCAAAGCTGAAGACCGAATGTGGCAGCATCGTTTCCGGGGCACCTGAGATTTTGAGTGAGATTGAGAGGTTCTATGGGCAGCTGTACACGTCATCGTTGGAGCCGCACGCAAGTGTGAGTAACGATCCAAGAGCGAGTCTTATCCGACATTATTCCGATGATATCCCGGACGTCAGTCTGAGCGAGATTAGAATGGCTCTCCAGCACCTTAAAAACGGCAGGGCCCCAGGCGGAATTACAGCGGAGCTTCTGAAAGTGGGTGGAAAACCGGTACTTGAAGTCCTTCAGAAGCTCTTTAATTCCGTCCTCCATGGTGGTATTACACCGGAGGCGTGGAGCAGAAGTGCGGTGGTCTTGTTCTTCAAGAAAGGCGACAACGCTCTCTTGAAGAACTACAGACCGATTTCCCTTCTGAGCCGCGTCTACGTGCTGTTTTCGAGAGTCATAACGAATCGTCTCGCGCGCATACTTGACGACTTCCAGCCTCCCGAACAAGCCGGTTTTCGAAAAGGCTTTAGCACCATAGACCACATACATACCCTTCGGCAAATTGTACAGAAGTCCGAGGAGTACAATTTGCCACTATGTCTGGCGTATGTGGACTATGAGAAAGCCTTTGATTCCGTCGAAATTTGGGCGGTGCTGCAGTCCCTTCAGCGATGCCAAGTTGACTGTCGGTATATCGAAGTGTTGAAGTGCTTGTACAGTAGGGCTACGATGGCTATCCGAGTACAGAACCAGAGTACGAAACCTATCCAATTGCAGAGAGGTGTAAGACAGGCTGACATCATATCCCCGAAACTCTTCACCGCTGCATTGGAAGATGTTTTCAAGCTTCTGGACTGGAAAGGATACGGTATCAACATCAATGGCGAGTACATCACTCACCTTCGATTTGCCGACGATATAGTCCTTATGGCAGAATCGTTGTAGGACCTAAGCACTATGCTCAATGATCTCAATAGTGTTTCCCAACGGATAGGTCTTAAGATGAACATGGACAAAACAAAGATCATGTTTAATGTCCATGTCACACCTATGCCGGTAGTTGTTGGGAACACTAAGCTCGAAGTTGTTGACGAGTATGTTTACCTGGGACAAATAGTCCGACTAGGTAAGTCCAACTTCGACCGAGAGGTCAATCGACGTATTCAACTCGGTTGGGCAGCTTTCGGGAAATTACGACACATCTTCTCGTCAGGTATACCTCAAAACTTGAAAACGAGACTGTACACCCAGTGCGTGTTGCCAGTGATGACATACGGAACTGAGACGTGGTCCTTCACTGCTGGCCGGATGAGGAAGCTAAAGGTCGCTCAGCGAGCTATGGAGAGGGCTATGCTCGGAGTTTCTCTGCGTGATAAACTCAGAAATGAGGATATCCGCAGTAGAACCAGAGTGACCGACATAGCCCAACGGATTAGTAAGCTGAAGTGGCAATGGGCCGGCCATATAGCTCGAAGAACCGACAACCGATGGGGAAGAAAGGTTCTCGAGTGGCAGCCTCGTACCGGTAGGCGAAGTGTAGGGCGTCCCCCCACTAGATGGAGTGACGACCTGGTAAGATATGCAGGAAGTCGATGGATGCAGGTGGCTCAGGACCGTGCTTTGTGGCATTCTTTGGGGGAGGCCTATGTTCAGCAGTGGACTTGTGAAGGGCTGTAATGATGATGATGATGATGAACATTTATTCCATAATGAAGAAAGCGAAAAATTATTCTTGTAATTTTTGAAAAATTATATACAGGCTGTCCCGACACTCGACGACAAGCAGGTACGGGCGATGAGATAGGTTACATCAGTTCTAGCAAAAATAAAAAATAAATTCCATCTTACTTGGTTAAGTGATAATAGGTACACATTTGAAAATGTTAAAAATCAACAACCTAGATCACATATTAAGGGCCTCCAGTTCCCGGCGGCCCCGCTTTTCCTGGCTACGGTGGCGACCATGGTAACGGCGGGGCGGGGGTTGCTAAGAATCTCTGGTGGAGGTTCGATTGCCACCTAAGATGACTCGACCTGGAAACTTATAACGCACGCATCCTGAGGACTGACGAGAAGTTCTTGGAGCTGGAAGAAGAGATAGACAAGTTGCGTTGGAATACTATAGGATTAACTGAGGTCCGAATAGAGGGGAGGACATGGCAATCCTCAAATCCGGCAACTTGTTCTATCACCGGGAGGGCAACCATCTGTCCCAAGAAGGTATCGGATTTATCGTCCACAAGTCTCTCGTTAACAACGTAGTAAAGATTGAGAGTGTGTCGACAAGGGTTGCGTACCTTATACTCAGAATCACCAAACGGTATTCGCTGAAGAACATACAGGTTTACACACTAACCATGGCACATCCCGATGAGGAGGTGAAGGAAATGTATGAGGATATCTCTAGAGCCATGCATTCCTCCAAAACCCACTATACAGTGTTATTGGGAGACTTCAACGCAAAACAAAGCACACGAGAGAACTGTGAGCTGAAGGTAGGGAAATTTGGAATAGGGCAACGGAACCCAAGGGGCCAGCAGCTGGCCGACTTCATGGAGATAGAGGGACTCTTTAGAATGAACTCTTTCTTCCAGAAGCGGTTCCACAGGAACTTGACTTGGTCGAGCCCCGACGGTTCAACAAAAATTGAGATTGACTTTATTATTACGACCAGATGACAACTGTTCAGTGATGACTCAGTGATCGCGAGGGTGAAAACCGGCAGCGATCACCGAATGGTGAAAGGTACACTGAACCTAAACGTTAAGTTAGAGAGGTGACGTCTAATGAAGTCAACGCTCCGTCCCCCTCTCGCACTAATCCAGTCCCGAAACCTTTCAGCTTGAGCTACAAAACCGTTTTCAGTGCCTAGAAAATTGCAATGCAGTGGACGATATGAATGACATGCTCGTAGTAACTGCCCATGCGGTCGGAGCTAAGTTTTGCAAGACCCGCCGCAGAAGAACTCAAAACTCTCTGATCACACTCTTAATCTCATGGCTGTTAGACGGGAAATGAAGCTGCAGTATTCAGTAGATTGAAAGCATACAGGCAATTAAACAAACAGATCTAAAAATGCATGCGGTGGAACTTACGCAACTTTAATACTGCTCATATTTAAGAAACAATAGAGCGGAACCAGGGCTCCAAAGACTTTGCCAGAGATCTGTGTGTCAGAAAGAGACAACTGTCAAAGATGAAGACCGAGTGTGGCAGCGTCGTTTCCGGGACAGCTGAGATTTTGAGTGAGATTGAGAGGTTCTATGGGCAGCTGTACACGTAATCGTTGGAGCCACACGCAAGTATGAGTAACGATTCAAGAGCAAGTCTTATCCAACACTATTCCGATGATATTCCGGACGTAAGTCTGAGCGAGATTAGAATAGCTCTACAACACCTTAAAAACAGCAAGGCCCCAGGCGGAATTACAGCGGAGCTTCTGAAAGTGGGTGGAAAACCGGTACTTGAAGTCCTTCAGAAGCTCTTTAA